TCAGTATTAGGACCACTACTATTTGTACTATATATAAATGATCTTCCAGACCAAGTGGATTCTGATGCCTACCTATTTGCAGATGACACCAAGATCTTTAGAATAATAAAAACCCAAAATGACAGAGAAATTCTACAAGATGATCTACATAAGATGGAAGCCTGGAGTGACAAATGGTTACTCAAATTTCACCCTGAAAAATGTAAATACATGAAAATATGCAAGAAATCAAACAGCACTGATCAATCACCAAATTATAGTCTTCTAAATCATCCTATAGCAAAGGTTGAAGAGGAAAAAGATATAGAAGTCCTTATCGATTCAGAACTCACCTTCGAGAATCACATAAGCGAAAAAGTGAATAAGGCCAACTCCATATTTGCAGTTCTCAGAAGAACATTTAAATACTTGGGTATGGAGACATTCATACCACCGGATTAAAATATGGTTAGAACTCATTTGGACTATGCAAGTTCAGTTTGGTCTCCATACAAGAAAAAAGATATTGATAAAATAGAAGGAGTCCAAAGAAGGGTAACAAAACAACTACCAGGTCTCAAAGACATGAGCTATCCAGAGAGACTAAAAAAACTAGGCTTACCAACACTATCTTATAGGAGAATAAGAGGGGATATGATTGAAACCTTCAAAACAATCAATGGCTACTATGACAAAGAAGTAAGCTCATTTTTAAGAATGGCAGATGATTCTCAACAAAGATTTAGTAGCCGGACAAAAAGTAACACAGTCATTCACCAGAGATTCCAATCAAATATCCGAAAACACTCATTCTCTGTTAGAATTGCTAAAACCTGGAACAAACTACCAGATAAAATAACAAAGGCCCCATCCATTAATGCCTTTAAAAACCGACTAGATAAATATTGGTCCGACGAAGAGCTACATTATAATGACTACAGAACAGAAATATCCGGAAGTCACGGACAAAACAGTACTAGAAAAAATTTAAATTATGAGTCTGGTGAAGAGGAACTTTAAGGGATCATGTACTGGAAATCAACTGTAAGTAACTATAAGTAAGTATATGGTGTCCATTTGACATGTGCAAGTGACTTTATATCATGTGCACTCTGCTTTATAATATTTGCAATGATTCGAGTTTTGAATTGCAGTATTTCCTGTTAACTAGTAACTGTTTCTAACTTTAAATATTTGGCTTCGTTTCTTTTTCTTTTGAGTTTCAGTTTGTTCATCACAATACATATTTTGTTTCGTTTCTTTGGTTTCGATTCCCGCTATATAATGCTCTTGAAAACGTTTCTTATGATCTTCAGGTAAAGCCCCAAATAAAACGCACCTATCTGAACACAGCCATATAACAATTAACGACCTATGATAATGAAATGGCAAGTAAGTTTCAATTTGGTTGTTTAAAATCTTGGTACCTTTGATTTGTTCTTACAACCACTGATCGATGTCACTAGAGCTTGTGTTTTTGTAGCCTGTTTACAAAATATCGACTTCAATTATAACTTTTAATTGAATGCAATATCATTGATGATGTCATATTCTGTAACAGTAAATATACTGTTCTTAAAATTAGAAGGTCTATCTACCCCAGGCATAGATGGCCTAAGCCATATTTGGCAGGGTTTTTTTAAACATATTCTGTTCAAATTTCGTAATTTATTTGGCCTTCCTACTGTTTTGATTTGACCATCACAGATACTTCTTATGAAGACAAAAAGCGTGTCTGACGTTCTAAATTATATGCCTTGTATCTTAATTAAGGTTTTCTTTATCGATTGTCATGTCAACAGTTTCTCTAAAGCCAATAATTTTGTCAGAAAATATATATAAAAAAAAACACAATTAAATGGAAATACCTCAAATAATAGACTTATTGACAATTAAGATGGATTAACACAGATCTCGATTTTCCTAGCGTTTTTAAAATCGAAATACACTAAGGATCATTCATGTCAAATTGTTTTATGTGTGAAGATCTTTGAAACAATTATGAAAATAATTAGTAAAATGATAATTATAAAGGGCGATAGCCTCGATCTGAGACTACTATAAATAAACAGTTTTGGTCCCGTGACTTAATTGTAGATCTTGTTATATTTATTACATTGCTCTTATTTTTCTATTTTCTTAAAAGTTCTATTCAACGTGTCTATCTGTATATATGAAGAATTGCTATAATTAGTTGTTTTAAAAATGTAAAGTAAGGACCAAAACTCCTATAAGTAAATTGATCGGTTGAGTCATTTTGGTATTTTTGTTAACCTTGTAGTGCTGATAAATTCTGTTCCCATCTGTCTTTTCTAAACAAAAACATTTTTCAAGATAATAGGCAGAAATGGTAAAATTCACCTAGATTCAGCAGTTTTAAGGGCAATAACTCATAGTCTCCTAAAAGGAGTCAATTAATTAAATGTTTCAGTCATATATATCTTGTATTGCTGATTATTTTTCGGTTAGTTTATGTCTATTATAGTTTTCAAATACCAGGTGGAAATGCAACAACAAACTCCCAATTGACTGAATCGCTCACCTGGTAAAAATATGCCGTTTTGATATTCAGGTCTACCTTTACTGCAACCAGTTATGTTTACTTATTTATAAATCCTATTTACTGATATTTCGTAGATCTTGTATTGATGATCATTTTTACTGTTCACAGTTTATATCCATCTATTAAAGTTTCGAGATAATTGGCAAAATTGAAAAAAAAAATAATAACAAAATCGTCATTCCAGGTCAATAAATCCTATAAGAGTGTTGACTTATTTGTACATCTTTTAAGCTGTTTAAAGATTCTCCCAATCTACTATAGTTTTTGACAGAAATGTAAAAAATGGATAAAAATCATCAACGGATCAATCAATTATTTTGAACCTGTTGACTTTATTGTAGATCACTATCTATTATATTTTCTACAAAAAAATAAGTAAAATAGGTAAAAATTGTTATTCAGGGGCAATAACTCGAATACGGAGTCAGTTCTTATTGTGTTGAACATCTTTGATATTTACAATTTCTCTCTATCTATTATGAATTCTGCAAAAACACATAAAATAAGCAAAAGCCATCTTTCATGGGCACTAACTATTATAAGGGGTCAATTTAAGGTTTCAACTATGTTGACGTATTTGTAGATCTTATTTTGCTGAATATTTTTGCTATTTGCAGTTTCTCTCTTATGGTTTTTGCAAAAATGGGTAAACATTATCTTCCAAGGGCAACTACTCCCATTCAGTGTCAATTGATGATTTCATCCATGTTGACTTATTTGTAGTTCTAATTGTTCTGGTCAGTTCAAAAACATAGAAATTTGCACAAATAAAAAAATCATTTCTGGGGAATAACTTCAAAATGGTTTGTCCTATTTTTCTGAAAATTACATATAAGATAGAGCTTGATATGCTGATCATGTTTGCCAATGTCAGTTTTGATCTTACTCCTTTACTGCTTTATTTTGAAATTAAAAAGCCAAAACCCGTGAAATTTTCTAAAAAATTACATTCCAGGGGCAATAGCTCTGTTTTTGGTTTGTCCTATTTTTCAAAACATTTTATAAAATAGACCTTGACATACTTATTATTTAGGTAAAGTTTGGTAGCATTTGGCCTTATAGTTTCGGAGGAGAATATAACAAAAATTTATAGTGACCAACAACGGAGGGACAACAGAATAAATATTTGAATATACATTCAACACAGGTTCAATAGTGATTCCAGGTCCTTAAGCTTTCATTTCATACAAAAATTACCAATGTATTTTAAATATTTTGAAAGTTGCAGCTATACGTAGGAACTATTTGTTTGAAATATGTACTACATTTGGTATATATTCTTTGTGACTGTGGACCCTAATTATACCTAATACTGAATTCATACTCTTTTGTGGCAGTATTACCAATGGTTAGGAATTATTTGAACCAGAAAAAACTTCATTGAAGTACATGAATTAATATTTAACTCTATAAATTTGAGAACATCCTCTGAACTTTCAAAAGAAAATAAAGAAAAAAAGATAGGTGCTTAAGTTAGTATTGGATTTGTTATAAAAAACATAAATTTGCTGAAATAAAACCCCAAAAGTATTCAATTCACATTTTGAGACCAAATACAAAAAAAAAAGTTTACTCAAACTTATGAAATATCACACTTTTTTATGTGTGAATTACTCATTTTTCAAGAGTTTAAAAGAAATAGTTATACATTTGTGAGAATGTTTTTATGTTAATGTACTTCAAGCAAATCTAAGGTATCAATATGATTAGATGAAAAGTATGAAGATATGAAGGATTGATGAGAAAGACAGCCAACAAAATTTTTAATGGAAAGAAGGATCTAATTGGTCTAAAAGAACATTATGCAGAAAACCGAAACAAACTTCACTAAAATTGTTAGGATGTCAGGTGCTCCCGAACCTTTCATGTTGCTTTGACCAAGAAAAGCATAACAAAAGAACTTTTGTGTAGGGACATCTGCAGGATGTATACATATGTAAACTTGTTAGTTCTGCTCACTTTTCAGTGGGAATAAGTTCTGATAAATAGTAATAATGAAAATAAATTGAAATAAAAACAAAATCAACATTACCATATAATCTTATTAATCCCCTTTTAATATAACAAACAATGAGAACAGCAGGTAATACATGTAAGAGTTTTGTGGATTAGTCTCAATTCATTTTTTTCTACTGGCTGTATACTTCACTGTTACATGTAAATTCTATGTAAATGTTATGCAGCTACATTAGAAAGTTCAGTAAAAAACTACAAATATCAACAAAATCAATTGATATACAGCAAAAATTAACACTTTCCAAATTAAGTTCCTGTGCAATTTTAACCTGAACAGACATAACTTTTACCGCTAAATGGTTATAGTCAGACAAAGACAACATTACTATATTGAAAGATCTTGTGACAATGAGCAAACAGTTTTCTTTAAAAAGTTGTGAAAAAGGTATATTTTGGATAATTGTATACTGCTAAGGACTGTGGAACCGTCAACACTCCGAAAAATTGATGACTGGAGACAGCCTTAGATTTATTAATTAATATCAAGAAAAGATTTACATTTTTTAAATTTCAGTGTAACAAGCTTCTAATGAAATTAACTAAATAAAAACGGAAAATAAGACATCTTGTTTTTTGCATGTATATTACCAATAACATAGTTCAACAGATAACTTAAATTTGTATGGTTTAGAAATAACTTTTAATTAGTACAGGTACAAGCATATATTGATTTTGTCACCTTTATCATAAGAAGAGTCCCTTTTCTATCATTCCAGCATCATCGGTTTTTCTCTTTACCCACTGTATGCAGATTGTAAAAAAAATTAATGTAGACAGGGTCTGGATAGGGTTTATAAAATATAGAATAAAAGACAAAAAGTACAGAAAAATTGGCCAAAAAATGGAATATGACACAAAATTAAAAGAATTCAGAAATGAAGGACCCCCTACCCCCCCAAAAAAAAAAATTAAAAAAGAAATCCAGACCCTCAGAAATAGTTTCAAGCAAAATTGTCCCCTCTTTTTTTTATATGACATGCTGATATTGTTGACATGTTGTAACAATATAAATTTCTCAAGGCAATAGATCCTTTTACAGACATCATTTTATATAATAAGAAAAAGGTCTACAAGAGCACATTTCTTGATGAGAGAAGTTTTGAATGATACTAGCAAGAAATTCAATACAACCCCAACTCATCTTTCTTTTTCTGCTAATGTGGTGCTAGATGATAATCAAGGAATAACTGTTCAAAATTGCCTTCAGTTGATACAGACATTTTGTGTCATTAGCAATCAGATATATATGCACCATAGTTAAGGTACTGATGATGTTCACATCACACATCTATTGAGAAAAAATACAACTTATAACCACAATCATCCTTTGGGTAATGTTGATGTTTTGGCATGGATTTTTTCTGTAACTTTCTTTGCTATATTTACATATACTTGAGCCTGAAAAACATTGTAAACATGTATTTATGACTACGAATTAAACACACTATTCAGATTCAACTCTAATTCACTGGTTATAATTTGTTATAAAAATCAGTGCTTTTATCATAAGGAACATACAATTATACAGTGTAAACATTGAATACATGGTTTCACTGAAAAGAAGATATGTGTTAATATAATACCATTTTAATGTAATAGATATATATTCTAACAGCAAATGGCATAATCAAGGGAATGCAGTGTTCCAATTAAAATATAAGGGAAAAAGGGCAGAGTCTAAACTAGAGGCTCTAAAGAGCCTGTGTCTCTCACCTTAGTCTATGTGCATCTCAAACATTGTAGACTAGAATATAATTCGACTGAAATCTCTTTTTAGTTAATCTTGTATTGCTGATCATTTTTTCTGTTTACAGTTTCACTCTATCTTTTATAGTTTTTGCCAAAAAAATAGATAGGAACTTATTTGTGTTTCTATCTATCTATTTAGTTTTCAAAATAATAGACAAAATGCAAAAACAAATGTGGATAGTGTCCACACGTGGACACAGATGATGCCCCCGCTTGCATATCATAAAGTTATAAAGGGACATAACTGAAGAAGGGTAAAAGTGACGCTACCCAAATTTGAACTTGATCTGAGTTTTGTGGTAATAAGCATTGTGTGTAAGTCTCATAACATTTGGTTGAGGCTAACTTAGGTAGAGAACAGAAACTAAAAATTCGTCAATTTTTCTATTTGTAAACACACATAACTCTAGAACAGTTGTGTATAAGTTTTATAACATTTGGTTGAGACAAACTAAAGTTAGAGAACGGAAACGAAAAATTCAGCAATTTTTATGTTTATAAAGGGATATAACACAAGAATGGTAAAAGTGTCAACACCAAATTTCGTACTTAATCTGTATTATGTAGTAATAAGCATTGTGTATAAGTTTCATAACATTTGGTTGAGGCAAACTTAAGTTAGAGAACGGAAACTAAAAATTTTGCAATTTTTCCATTTATAAAGGGGCATAACTCTAGAACGGTTAAAGTGACGCCACCAAAATTCAATTTTGGGACATACGTACTTCCAGACAGACAGACAAGGGTAAAACTTAACGCCCCCACCACTTAGGCGGGGGCATAAAAATGGTAAAAGTTGTCATTTAAGGCACTAACTCCTATACAGAGATGACCAACAATTTCAGCAATATCAACTTATTTGTAGATCTTACTTTGGGGGTCATTTTTGCTATCTAAAGTTTCTCTCTATCTATTATAGTTTCAAAATAATAGGCAATAACACAAACTTGAGGCTTCCAAGAGCCTTAGTAGCTCCCCTGGAAAAAATATGCCACTTTGATATTTGTTTTTCCTTTTTTGCAATCAGTTATGTTGGCTTATTTGTAGATCTGATTAGCACACATTTTTGTAGCTTGTATTGATGATAATTTTTAATGATTACAGTTACATCTATCTATTAAACTTTTTGCGATAAAAAAAACATCATTTAATGGCAATAAATCTTATATTTAGTGTGACAATTTGGCCATGTTTACTTACTTGTAGGTCTAATTTTGCTGATCTTTTTTGCTTTTTAAAGTCTCTCTAACTCCTATAGTTTTTGACAAAAATGCATAAATGCAAAAAAAAAAAAAAAAAAAAAAAAAATCATCTGTACTTATTTGTACATCTTAATGTGCTGAACATTTTTGTGTTTTTTGTGTTTTTACTGTTTATCTCTATCTATTATAGTTTGTGCAAAAAAAAAACAACAAGAGTACACACACTGAAATGTCTATCCTGCTTTACTCATAGTGATTACTGTGGACTTGTTATTAATTGTTGGTTACCAATCTTCATGGATTTCGTGGGAAAAGGTAAACCATGAATTTGAATTTTGAAAAAAATACCAAATTTTCTATAGGTTTGTATGCAGACTGTCAAAACCACAAAATCAAATATCCATGCAAATACAATGTTTCCTCAATCCAAAAATTGGTAGACATGAATATAAATGAATCCACAGTAAATTTATGTTGAAAGCCTGTAATATGAAGGTTTTACTACAAGTATCATATAATTATAACGTTATCAATGATCCATGTAAATAAGGTAAAGGTCAGATGAACCCTGCCAGACAGACATGTACACCTTACAATCATACCATACACCAAATTTAGTTAGCACTCTGAGAAACAGCCCTTATCATAACCAGAGTGTGCATGCTGACATGTCTCACCTGCTTACTGACCATTGATTGTATGTTGAAATTCTAAAACTACAAGTATCGAAAAACTTAACATTTTTAAAGATCCATAACAATGAGGTCAAGGTCAGATAAATCCTGTAAGACAGACATGTACACCATACAATTATTCCATATGTAAAGGTTAGACAAAACTTGGTCATGTTTTATGAAGATTTAAAGCCCAAGGCGTAGCCGAGGGTTTTAAATGTTCATAAAACATGACCAAGTATTGTCTGACCAATTTAGAACATATTCAGACCTTCGAGTGACCTTCAAAATTATCCTTTCCCATTGTTATATTCAAACCTTAATAAGAATTCACTTTTTATAATGAAGTGTTAACTTGGTTAATACAAGGAATGTATAACATAGGTAATGGTCATTTCAATGGATTGAATGAAATAGCACTGACATAGATCTTTGAGGACAAAAAGGATAAATTGTTAAAACATTGAGTTTTTCTTCTGCTTCAGGTAAAATTTAATACTTATATACCTTAATTTCTTGATTTAAAAAAAAAAAAACAATGTTTATATGTGTTATATAAATCAGCTTTTTGAAATATGTACAATTTTTGGTAATTATAAAACTCACTCTATAAATATTTGAATTACGACCATTCAACATCAGACACTTACTTTTTATTGCTGAATGTACATGTATTGTGTTTTTTTATCGAAAACAATCCTTTGCTTTATTTATCAGCAGTCTGACATTGTTTTCTTGAAAGAAAACTAGAGGCTCTCAAGAGCCTGTGTCACTCACCTGTATTTTCTGATGCTTTGGAAATCATGTGAAATAAGGTTAAAATCATAATTAATAGTATTAGATATTTAAGGAATGGCTGTAATATTTTTTCTGTCTATGAAGAAATAACATAAAAAATGTGGTGCACACTGAATAACTCGCGTAGCGGGTTATTTTAAAGTGGGCACCACATTTTTTATGTTATTTCGAATAGACAGAAAAATATAACAGTCATTTCTTATGATGTAATTCTAAATTCCATTTTAAACCGGAGTAAACCATGAAAAAACGTTGATGATGTCACGGTCACATGACAAAATTATGTCTATGAGCTGATAAACAAAACAACGTCAGCCAATCAGAAGACGCGTTACATCCAAAATTAAATAATTAGATATTATAATGATATCCAAGATAATAACAAATAAAATGCTTCGCTGGGGCGCAGCTTGATACGACCGCAGAGGTCGAACCCTGAACAGTTGGGGCAAGTATGGACACAACATTCAAGCTTGATACAGCTCTGAATTTGGATCGTTATTAAATATTTGACACAGCATAGGTTTCTGACACAGAAAGAATGTGGTCTAAGAACTTGAATTTTTTTAATATACCTATTATGGTCCAATGTCCAAAATCAAAATACATGGTTAGATTCAGCATATCAAAGAACCCCATATATTCAATTTTTGTTAAAATCAAACAAAGTTTAATTTTGGACCCCAACTTGGACAAACTTGAAAACTGGGCCCATAATCAAAAATCTAAACACATGTTTAGATTCAGCATATCAAAGAACCCCAAGAATTCAATTTTTGCTAAAATCAAACTAAGTTTAATTTTGGACCCTTTGGACCTTAATGTAGACCAATTTAAAAAACGGGACTTAAAATTAAAAATCTAAATACACGGTTAGATTTGGAATATTAAAGAACCCCAATAATTCAATTTTTGATGAAATAAAACAAAGTTTAATTTTGGACCCTTTTGACCTCAATATGAACCAATTTGATAGCGGGGCCCACAAATAAAAATTCTAAATTCATGGTTAGATTCAGCATATCAAAGAACCCCATATATTCAATTTTTGTTGAAATCATAAAAAGTTTAATTTTGGACCCCAACTTGGACCAACTTGAAAACTGGGCCCATAATCAAAAATCTAAACACATGTTTAGATTCAGCATATCAAAGAACCCCAAGAATTCAATTTTTGTTAAAATCAAACTAAGTTTAATTTTGGACCCTTTGGACCTCAATGAAAACCAATTTAAAAAACGGGATCCAAATTAAAAATCTAAAAACACGGTTAGATTTGGCATATCAAAGAACCCCAATAATTCAATTTTCGATGAAATCAAACAAAGTTTAATTTTGGACCCTTTTGACCTCAATATGAACCAATTTGATAGCGGGGCCTACAAATAAAAAATCTAAATACATGGTTAGATTCAGCATATCAAAGAACCTCATATATTCAATTTTTGTTGAAATCAAACAAAGTTTAATTTTGGACCCCAATTTGGACCAACTTGAAAACTGGGCCCATAATCAAAAATCTAAATACATGTTTAGATTCAGCATATCAAAGAACCCCATATATTCAATTTTTGTTGAAATCAAATAAAGTTTAAATACTGGACCCTATCTTGGACCAACTTGAAAACTGGGCCCATAATCAAAAATCTAAACACATGTTTAGATTCAGCAAATCAAAGAACCCCAAGAATTCAATTTTTGTTAAAATCAAACTAAGTTTAATTTTGGACCCTTTGGACCTTAATGTAGACCAATTTAAAAAACAGGACCCAAAATTAAAAACCTAAATACACGGTTAGATTTGGAATATCAAAGAACCCCAATAATTCAATTTTAGATGAAATCAAACAAAGTTTAATTTTGGACCCTTTTGACCTCAATATGAACCAATTAGATAACGGGGTCCACAAATAAAAAATCTAAATACATGGTTAGATTCAGCATATCAAAGAACCCCATATATTCAATTTTTGTTGAAATCAAACAAAGTTTAATTTTGGACCCCAATTTGGACCAACTTGAAAACTGGGCCAAAAATCAAAAATCTAAATACATGTTTAGATTCAGCATATCAAAGAACCTCATATATTCAATTTTTGCTAAAATCAAACAAAGATTAATTTTGGACCCTTTGGACATTAATGTAGACCAATTTGAAAACTGGACCCAAAATTAAAAATCTAAATACACTGTTAGATTCGGCATAACAAATAAATAAATGTGATCAAAGATTTTACAAATCTAATGCGCCATACTGTGCAATTAAAGATTACTTCTTGAAATTTTTCAATATTTGAAATTTGAAAAAAAAATAATATTTGAAGAATAAATCTTTTTAATTTCTGAAATCTGAAATGAGAAAAAATTGGCCCCCCACAATTTCTTTTTATCCCCCCCCCCTTTTTCCCCCAAAAAAATTCTTATCCTCAAGATATGGTCATAATCTCAATTCAAATTTCCAATGGAGTTGGCAACCATAATTACCCATTTAAATTTACCATAGTGCTAACTTAATCTATTTTATAATAGAATTAATAAAAATATAGTGTCAAATCTTTCATATGGATTTTTTTGTAAAAAAAAAAGATGAAAACATTTGCAGATATTTTTACTGGTCTTCCTTTATAAATATGCATTTCTTTAAACATAATTTAAAAGCAGTGTAAGGGAAGTAACCAAAATGTTGTATTTGGATTATCTCCCTTACACTGTTTTAGATTATCTTTATTGTTCATTAACCATTACTTTATACATAATTTAAAAGCAGTGTAAGGGAGATAATTTCAATGATGTATTTGATTTATCTCCCTTACACTGCTTTAAATTATGTTTTGTACTAAAGTATTTGTCCATTAACCAGGACAACCTTGTTTTTCCCCCTTTTTTGCCCCTAATTCCTAAACGGTTTGAGCCATAACCCCCCAAAGCAAATCCTAACCATCCCTTTGTGGTATGGAAACTTGTAGTATTATTTCAGAGAGATCCATACACCGTTCCACAGTTATTGTCTGGAAACTAGAAAATGCTCATTTTTGGCCCCTTTTTGGCCCCTAATTCCTTAACTGTTGGTACCATAACCCCCAAAATCAATCCCAACATTCCTTTTGTGGTATTTAACCTTATGGTCAAATTTCAAAAAGATCCATTCACTTAAACTAAAGTTAGAGTGCGAAAACCAATATGTATTCGGACGACGACGACGATGACGCTGGACGACGACGACGACGACGCCAACGTCATACCAATATACGACCACAAAATTTTTTTGCGGTCGTATAAAAACTGTAAAATTACTAACTCAGGGGCAGCAACCCAACAACGGGTTGTCGGATTCGTCTGAAAATTAAGGGCAGATAAATCTAAATCTGATGAACATTTTTGCCACATTTCAGATTTGCTCTAAATGCTTTAGTTTCAGAGATATAAACCAAAAACTGCATTTTACCCCTATGTTCTATTTTTAACCAAGTCGGCCATGATGGTTGGAAGGCGGGGTCATCGGACAAATTTTTTAACTAGATACCCTAATAATGATTATGGCCAAGTACGGTTAAATTTGTCTCAGTAGTTTCAGAGAAGAAGATTTTTGTAAAAGATTACAAAAATTTACGAAAAATTGTTAAAAATTGACTATAAAGGGCAATAACTCCTAAAGGGGTCGACTGAAAATTTTGATCACGACGACTTATTTGTAGATCTTACTTTGCTGAACATTATTGCTGTTTACAGTTTATCTCTATCTATAATAATATTCAAGATAATAACCAAAAACTGCAAAATTTCCTTAAAATTACCAATTCAGGGGTAGCAACCCAACAACAGGTTGTCAGATTTGTCTGAAAATTTCAGGGCAGATAGATCTTGACCTGATAATCAGTTTTACCCGTGTCAGATTTACTCTAAATGCTTTGGTTTCAGAGATATAAGCCAAAATCTACATTTTACCCCTATGTTCTATTTTTAGCCATGGCTGCCGTCTTGGTTGGTTGGCTGGGTCATCGGACACATTTTTTAAACTAGATACCCTAATGATGATTGTGGCCAAGTTTGGTTAAATTTGGCCCAGTGGTTTCAGAGGAGAAGATTTTTGTAAAAAGCTAACGACGATGACGACGGACGACGGACGCCAAGTGATGAGAAAAGCTCACTTGGCCCTTTGGGCCAGGTGAGCTAAAAAATAATAATTGACTCAATTGTCTGGTATAAAGATTGAATAAAAGATTATTTTACCTACACCTTTACCCCCATTTCATTTTTTTTATGATCTATATATGCATCATGATAAACATTTGCAATATTCAAAATGTTTTTTATAATTCTATTCTCTTTCATCTTTAATCAGTAGGCTGTTTTCCTAAGGAAAATGCCTCGGGGGATATTGTACACTTCATTAGTGTAGTTATTAGAGTTCACTTTCATAATTAATCTTCAATGAAAAGTCATTCATGTATAGCATTTTATAGTGCATGCAAAGCCATGTACTATGAAAATTCGAAGGGAAAAAACTGACTTTTCATTGGACGAGAAGGGGTGAGTATGTTCTAAAGCAAATATAGTTGACCTATTGCTTATGGTAATAGAAAACCAGACCAAAACACACAAAGAGTGCACACGTTAAAATGTCTCGCCTGCTTTACTGACCATTGATTTTATGTTGAAAGTCTTAAAGATAAAGGTTTTACTAAAAGTATCACATAAACTTAACATTTTTAAAGATCTATGAAAATGAAGTCAAGGTCAGATAAATCCTCTCAGACAGACATATACATCTTACAATTTTTTTAAACATCAAATATAGTTGACCTTTTGCTATTGGTAATTGAAAAATATACCAAAGCACAAAAAACATAACATTGACCAATGAACCATGAAAATGGTGTCAAGTTCAGATTATACCTGGTGGACAGACATTTAAGCCTTACAGTTATTCCATACACCAAATATAGCTGACCTTTTGCTTATAGTACTTGTAAAATAGACCAAAATACAAAAACTGAACATTGACCAATGAACCATGAAAATGAGGTCAAGGTCAGATGAAACCTGTCAGTCTGACATGTACACCTTACAACCATTCCATACACCACACTTAGTTGACCTACTACGTATAGTATATCAGAAACAGACCTAATCATATAACTTTAACCTTGATCACTGATCCATTAAAAGAGGTCGATGTCAGGTGAACCCTGTCGGACTGACATGTAGACATTGCAAGGAACCCATACACCAAATATAGTAATCCTATTACTCATAATAAGTGAGAAATTCACATGACAAAAAAAACTAAAAAAAAAATCAAGCAGTTGCTGAACCATGAAAATGAGGTCAAGGACAATGGACATATGACAGACGGAAACTTAGTAATATAAGGTATCTGCATACAAGGTATGAAGCATCCAGGTCTTCTATCTTCTGAAACATAAAGCTTTATACAAATAGTTTATGACACAGCTGAATAGTAATCCCTATGTCTTGCATACTGTGACTTTTGTCACAGGCAAGACAAAAATTAGACATTGACCAATGAACCATAAAAATGAGTTCCAGGTCAGTTGAACCCTGCCAGACAACATTTACAACATGCAATCATTCCATACACCAAATATAGTTGACATATTGCCTATAGCATCTGAGAAACAGACAACAAAATTGAGTCTCAAAGTTTAGATCAAAATTTGCTATCAAAGTCCAGCCGAAAAATGGTTTGGGTGTTATGACATTGTAGAAAGGTGTCACAGCACAAAAATTTTAATTGCCTTACAACATGTCATATTTATTTAGACTACATACACAACTAGAAAGTCTCTGACCAACTGTTACAGTAAACTGGTATACTCAATCTATCATAAAATGTTTTTAAAGTCATTGAGAAGATAGAAGGGACTTCAAAATTGTCTATTACCTGTAAACTATCTGGTGATGAAACAACAACAGGCTGGCCAGAATCACTTCCTTCTCTTATCTGTATGTCTAGTGGTACATCTCCTTTAAACAGATTACTTTACTATATCATTTTCACATAACAATGTTCACTTTGATTTTTTTATAACGTCTAGCTATGTGATTAAAGAAGTAATGTCATTGTGCAATTAGATGGGTATGAAAAGAACAACATTCAAAGAATAAATAAAAGAATATATCCATAGTAAAATAAAGGCCAAACTCATATTTTATGTATTCATAATAATTTTTCTTCACGCTCTTGAAATTTATTTGCTTTTATGACAACTGCATTATTTTAGGCTTTGTTATATAAACTTGTTTTTAACAGGAAATTTTTAAGCTAATATAATACATCATATTCTTTGCATGTAGTTTTGTACAGTTTATTTCATGTACATATAAATGACACATAATATCATTTTAGTTACAAAACAATTTATTTCATATCAATACCTGAACTAATTAGTAATATACATCCAGTGTAATTAGACCTGACTTATCACATATTTATGTCATCTGAGACACATAATACCTGAGATTGACTACTTCGCCAAATCTGTTAACATCTCAAAAAATCACCAAAAATATTAAAATGATATTTGTAATACTCTATCAAGAAATTGTTCATATTTTTATTTTTCAATGCATGTTAATAACAAAAACAGACAAAAATAAGTATCAGAACTCCTAAAATCACACTCTCTAACTTCTTTAAATTTTCAATATTTTATGTCAATTTTTGACTTCCATTGTTCATAAAATCTTTACTATAACAGACAAGTTTTTCAAACCTTTATATCCTATTTGGTAATGTGCTGAAAATGAGAAAATTAAAACAAAAGGAATACATCAGTACATGGAAAAGTTGTTTGAATAATAATGAGATAGCCATATGATATTTCAATAGATAAACAGACATTTAAAGCAATTATTTGTCTCTAGTGTCACTCAAAGAAATTTCATTAATAATTTAGTAGTTATAAAAGGTATACATAAATGTTCATTATTCATAACATAATTAAATAACAATATCTAACAACAGCAGAATTTAATATTGCTATTCAATATACCTAAAATATCCAAACTGAGTTCTTCCGCTAACTTTTTTGTGCCATCTTTACCAAATATGTGTTCTGTGTGACCACAATTAGGACAGACATACACATTCATATTCTGGATAAGACCCAGGACAGGAACATTTACTTTCTCAAACATTTCAGTTCCTCGTCTTGCATCCAGCAAAGCTATGTCTTGTGGTGTTGACACAATAACAGCACCTTATCAATACAAAATTTAACACATTTATTTAAATGATAGTACTGTAAAGAATAACCTTAAAGGCAACAGTCATATAAATACCAATTATAATGAGCTTTACTATTGTAAACAATGTAAGTTCTTACAGAGATAATGAGGTGTGTTGAAAAAGTTTTTCGATGTTTCTTAAGGGTCAATCTCTTTCTTAGCTCCATTGGTAAGTTTGCTTGGAAGTGCAAGCAACTACAGAAAGCATTAAACAATAAATAGCGTATTTATAATAACTAAACTGTACAACCCTATATAACTTCAAAATTTAAAGGGTGTAGAGGAGTAGAAAAGGGATATATATTTATCTGTCTTCTTTTAAGAGATATAAAATAAAGATAAGAACACTCATAATTGCCACTGGCATAGTACTGTGAAAGTACTTTTATTCGTGTGGTACCAACTTTCTAGGTTTTTTGTGGATGGCTTTATCCATGAATTCATGTGTCCAACGAAATATAACAACTGGTGTCCAAATCAAGACATGCAAAGATCTCTATGTAGGTTTGACTACATGGACATGGGCATATAATCTAGAGAATACATTGTACATTGAATATCAGCAAACGTGCTATGATCTATATATACATGTACATCTTCAGACAGATTTTACCAATTTAATCTTTTAAAAAAAAAATTAAACTGTACGACTTTTACCCTTTTTCTAATAATTCTCATATAACATTACAAAAGTCAGATTTCCAGTAATGTTGTGTGATGATGAAGTGTTCATTTTACCTCCTCATAATTTTTGTACGAAAAAAATTCATATTCAGCTTGTTTTTTTTATTTCACAAGGAATAATTCTACAATTCAAAGTAAAGATGTAGCATTTTTTATGTAACCGTTTTCCTTAGGTGACATGTTTATAGCCCAATTAACACCTTTGATGATCGTTGCTTAGGGAGCAACCATTTAACTTCAAGGGGGGGGTTATGGTTTTTTGTCTGAGTCTGAAAATTTTTTCATGCAAAATTTAACACTATAAGGTATGGGGAAAATCTGGATTCAGAATATTTTTTTTGTCATCTGCCTGACCGCAATATTTTTTTTCATCAAACTGGGGATCAGAACATTTTTAAGGAAAAAACCATAACCCCTCCCCCTTGAAGTTAAATGGTCGTTCCCTTATTTCCAAAAGCAATTATTTTATTAAAGATTTGATGAATGTTGTCAGTAATGAAAGACGAACAAGTAAGGTAAAATGAGCACCTTATTTTGTAATCTCCCACAAATCATTAAAAAACAACATATGATTTTTTTTTTTTCAAAAAAATTCATTTGTGATGGTTTCAAATTCATTACTCGATTATTTTCTTCAGAAAACTAAAATCCACGAAATGAAGAACCCACGAACATGTAAGTTTTGCACAAACCACGAAAGTTGATACCCATGAATAAAAGTACTTATTACAGTATTTACTCAAAGGCTACTACCAAAGCTTACTGAAGTAAAGTGTTAATTCTCTCTACCAAATGAAGTTAAAATGAACCAAACCCTAAAGAATTATGTTTACAATTATATTTTTAGATGAAATTGGAACACAGATGAAAAATATCATAGACACAGCACTAGGGACATTTGAAATATGAAACTAAATATAAGACAGAACCAAAGTTGACCAATAATAAAATTATTTTGATCCATATGAGGTGGTACATTGTATTATTGTATACTGTATACTATATGAAAGGATTGTGGCAGTAATAATGAGTTTAGGAAATACGGATTTGATTAAAAACTTAAGTTGATGTTTATACGATATCCATTTACTGTAATATATAGTGACGCAATTGTAACATAGCTGAGTCATATTCAGTGAGGAGATTATACTGGTTTCATATCATTATGATCATAGTTTCAATAGGGCTTAAACACAAAAATAATAAAACAAAACATGTTTTTGATGTCTTGGTAGTTTACTTAAGTAGGAACTTTCTGTTACAGGAATAACAGATGGCATCACTACTGATAATGATTAGGGATTATATAGAATTGAAATAAACACATCCACATGTATATTCTACCAAAATGGAATGAAATCTGCCATTCAAAAGTAATTTTTTAACAACCAAAAGTTAATACATACCATCAATAGGTATATTTTGTGACAATGAGAGCTGTGTATCTCCTGTTCCAGGTGGCATATCGACAACTAAGTAATCCAGTGGACCCCAAACTACCTAAAAGAGATCATGTCTATATGTGCATTCAAACTGTCTAAAGGAAACATGTATATAACTAAACTCTGAGAAGCCAGAATTGCTCATCTTGTTTAAGTATGCAACATTTAAAAGGACAAGAACTAAATAATGTGTCAAATGACAATTTCCAGAACTTTCTTATATTGTAGATCTTGTCTTGCTGATCATTTTTCCTGTTTACCTTCTGTGTATCAATTAAAGTTTTCAAAGTAATGGCAAAGAACGATAAAATTGGAAAAAAAAATTGTCAACTACTGAAAGAAATCAATCAACAAATCTAGTTATGTTAACCTATTTGTAGATCTTTTCTTGCTGATCAAAGTTTCTCTCTATATATTGTAGTTCTAAATGCAATAACTCCAATAAGGAGCTGACTGATCATTTTAATCATGTTCACTTATTTGTAGCTTTTTCTTTTTATGATGATTAATTTTGCCATTTAAAGTTTCTAACTATTATAGTTTTCAAGATAATAGCCAAGTTTGTAGCTCTGGTCTTACAGATAATTTTTGCTGTTTACGGTTTCTCTCTATATACTATAGTTTTCCATGCTTGTTGATGAATAAAAATCTGGGATACAATATATAAACTAAACATACCAAGTAATATTCACACAATATTTGGTTCAAACCCATTCATTGAATTTGTTTCAAATAAGAAGATTCTTTTATTTTTTTACATCGAACAATGAAAGTCACAGGACAACTGATGCCAAGTAATGGCAAAAGCTTACATAGAAGTTTTGGTCCAGGTGAGCTAAAATTTAAGCCAACTTCTTAAAACTGTAATCACTTGCGAAATCTATACTACATATCAGTCAAGAGAAGATCTCTCATAGAGCCTCACATTCTTTACAAGACAACTCTCGTCCGGATTTATAATCAAAACGGGAAAAATATCATGTTAAAGGTGTAAAAGATCATGAAGCATTATTTTAGCATTAAATATAAAGAACTTTATATAATACTGTTTAACGCCAGATGCTATTCATCTGACATGGACAATTGCTGTTTTCAAAATTCAAATTTTAATAAAATAGCTTGATGAATATGTAGGTATTTTATGTTGTTGCTATTTCTGCAATATAATGGGTTAAATTATAAAATCCAGAATGTTTACCTACTTGCCTGATAAGTTTCTGTATTGCTGACATAACCATAGGTCCTCTCCATACTATGGCCGACTTTTCCTCTACCAGAAAACCTATTGACATGCTGTAACATAAAAAATAGGCTCAATTTATAGATTGACATATGGCAATGAGTATTGACACTCCTGTAACCACTAGAATTTTTTTTTAAATTCTTGTGTTGGGTTACTGTCTCAGTGACATTTACCTCACACCTTCTTTTTTTTATATTTTAGGATCTGTGAACAAATTGAAAATAAGACGCACGTAAATAACCTGATATATAGTGTATTATTCTACTTTCAAATGATTTTCTAAATATTTTTCTCATCTTGCACATTACAAGGATGCAGAAAAAAAATCATTTTTAAATCAAGACTGCATGCATTGTATTGTAATGGATTATTACATGAAATAGTTTGTACAAAAATAGAGGCTCATCTGGCCAAAATTAGTCCTATTGATAGTTAGGTTAAAAGTAAAAAAAATATTAACAAAATCTTCCAAGTAGATATGGGATACAGGTGGAGTACCAGTAAGACCCCGTTTACACTAGTAAAAAAGATTGATCTTTCCCGAGATCGATCTTAAATAGATTGATCTTTAGTCTAATGTAAACAAGAAAGATAGATCTTCGATCGGACATAAAAAGTCCACCTGCAGAGGTGGTTTTAAAAAGATCGATCTTATTTGAATCTATCTTTCTCAAGTGAATGTAATATTTAGATATGCAAATAAATCTGAGCATGTTTGGCGGCAAAAGCACACCTGTTTAAAAACGATGGCTGGGATAAGAAAAGTAAACGTAGATTCCACCATTTTTGGATCATTTTTGTTGCAAATTCTCATTTTCAAATGCATTGGCCGTTCATTTTTAAATGATAGTCTTCTCACATTTCTTTGTGTAATGACTTGTGACGTGTGAACCAAAATGTTGATTAATGACTGCATACGAAATTCCAATGATCCAACTATTTTCTCAATGATTTTTCAGTGTGTTATTGTCCGCACGAGATGCATACATTATTATAGTGACTTATACTATTCTATTTTTACGATTATTTGTTTATGAAATGTAAATTATTCAGGTCAGACAGGTTCTTTTTATGTTGCAGTGTAAATGCACTAGAGTAAATAAGATTGATCTCGATTGATCTTGCTTGTGCAAATGTAAACGCGAACTGGTCTTTATAAGATCGATTCAATTTCGTACTAGTGTAAACAGGGTCTTTCTGTCTGAAATTCAGAGTTTATCTCAAATAATTTACAACAGGAACTCTTTGGCAAAATATTCTTTTAACATACAAAGATTACCAAAAGTTAAGTTTAGCACCATAGACTCAGACTTTATTTCCTCTTATTAACAACAAAGAAATGGAATACTAGTATGCAGATTTTTTTCTGGAAATTTTTTAGTTACATTGGCCATTTACCGTCATTATTGAATCTTGCCATTAAAAGACAGAATTTACTTTTAAACATAATATTAATGTTAAATTTTGCTTTTTTCTAGCAAGAAGAGAAGAAGATATGTCAATTGAACCAAAGACATTGCTATTCTGACCATTAATTTTGAAGGTCTCCTTCCTGCTCTGAATATGAACTTTATGTCACTTGAAATCAACCCTTACACTGTATCAAACAACATATAGAATATAATTTTGAAAATAACGAAATTTTTTTTCTTTCTTTTGAAATAAATGGGGAATGTGTCCATGGGACACAGATGATGCCCCCGCTTGCATATAACGTTATAAAGGGTCATAACTCAAGAACTGTAAAAGTGACACTATCCAAATCTGAACTTGATCTGAGTTTTGTGGTAATAAGCATTGTTTATAAGTTTCATGACATTTAGTTGACATAAACTTAAGTTAGAGAACAGAAACGAAAAATTCAGCAATTTTTTTCCATTTGTAAAGGGGCATGACTCTAGAATGGTAAAAGTGACGCCAACAAAATTCAAATTTGATCTGTGTATTGTGGTAATTAGCATTGAGCATAAGTTTCATAACATTTGGTTGAGGCAAACTAAAGTTAGAGAACAAAAACTAATATTTCATCAATTTTTACATTTGTAAAGGGACATAACTTTAGAACGGTTAAAGTGACACCACCAAAATTCAAACTTGATCTGTGTTTTGTGGTAATAAACATTGTGAATAAGTTTCATAACATTTGGTAGAGGCAAACTCAAGTTAGAAAACAGAAACAAAAAAATCAGCATTTTTTTCATTTGTAAAGGGGCATAACTCTAGAACGGTGAAAGTGACGCCACCAAAATTCAAACTTGATCGGTGTTTTGTGGTAATAAATATTGTGGATAAGTTTCATAACATTTGGTTGAGGCAAACTAAAGTTATAGAACGGAAACGAATAATTCAGCAATTTTTCCATTTGTAAAGGGGCATAACTCTCGAACGGTAAAAGTGATGCCACCAAAATTCAAACTCGATCTGTATTTTGTGGTAATAAGCATTGTTGATAAGTTTCATAACATTTGGTTGAGGCAAACTAAAGTTAGAGAACGGAAACCAATTTTGGGATGTACGGACCGACGTACAGATGGACAAGGGTAAAACTTAATGCCCACTCTGCTACGGCGGGGGCATAAAAATTGTTTATTCTAAAGTACGGTTAGATATTGCTTTGTCTTAAAACGGTAAGTTTTCCAAAATCAAGGATGTCATAAAAAGATGAAGTCATGTCCCCACCAGTATGGTACATTCAAACTTTGTTTTCTCTTTATTTCAAAATATACATACCATTTTATTCCAAAATTGATTAATGGCACCATCATATTTTCTGAAAATGTACAAAATAACAATTTTCCTCCCTCAGCTCATTACTGATGACCTTTGTTTTTGCGACATTTGGCCCAAACAGGAAGTTGTCTTAGGGACTGTTTTTTCCAAATTGGACTAAATATGGATAAGGTGTACTTTTTTTAACATATCTGTTTTATCTTCAGAAATAAAGGGTCATGAAAAACTAAGTGCCACTAGTTTAGGAATTATGTTTCTTCACAAGGTCTTCTGTAGAAGTATATTTTCTGATAGTAGTCACCGTTCTTGGCTGATTGACTTCAAATAAATATTTGGTCATTACCTCATGTTCAGTACTTTAAAAGACCATCTATGCCATATTTTATTTAAATTGATTCAACCGTTTCGAAAAAAAACTCTTTAGTTTATATGCAATTTGGACACTGTCCTCTATCTAAGATGATAACTTTGGGGCTAATTTAACAGTATTTCTATCTTCATCTAATTTAAATCATCCATATAATGCATGGTTTCATTCCATTTAGTAACCATGGTAACCTTCCATAACAAGATAAAAAGCCAAATGTTCATGGAAATACATATGTATAATCAATAAATGCCAAGTGATGACAAACCCTGGTATTTCTACTGGTCATGTACGTGCTTCTGTAAAGACTTCACAAAATGTTCTTTCCTATTATCTAACAAAAATGTCTGTTGGAAAATAGAGATTATCATAGTCTGGCTTAGAACTACAGACTAGGACTTGGAATCCTCCTACATGAGTATTTACCTATTTGACAAGAGGTTCATTAATGTCTTGATATTCATCTTTGATTTTATTGATATGAGAATCAGATACCATCATTTGAGAATCTATTATCTAGATTATACAAATGATCACTTAATCCAAAATTCTACATATTTTTGATATGTGTTTGGTGATTTTTTGTAGAAAGAAGAGAAGTCATTTGAACCAAAAATATCATGATTCTGTCTGTCAGTTCAGAAGATCGTTATCCTTTTCCAAATCTGTATTTCATCTGAATCTATTCAAAATTGATATCAAAGACACGCATTATACCAATAAGTAGCATGACATGGCATTGTAGCTATCTTTTCTCAGTCAAAATTTTATATAAAATATGTCTTTTTTTAATCATTTCAAGTTGAAAGGGTAAAAGTACATTTATTTTTTTTCATTTCTAATCTTAACTAATTCAAGTCATACGGTTGTTAAGTAAAGGCTCTCCGTGTAAATTCATCATTGTTGGTATAGATGGACCATAGACATCAGCATCCAACAAACCAACTTGTTTTGTCTGAAAAGGAAATAAAACCATTCAATCTATCATCTGAAAGAGAAAAAATGAAAAGACAAGATGTACAGTGAGCTACGAGGGGAAGGCTGTTGCTCATATCTATAATTTAAAAAAAAAATGTGTAAACTGAAAATTTCTGGTCATATATGTCAATTATGATACAATGGCTTCAGACATGATATTTCTTAAAAAGTGAACAAAATTGATATTACCATATTCATTTATCAATAATTTAATTTTGGATGGAACGCGTCTTCTGATTGGCTGACGTTGTTTTGTTTATCAGCTCATAGACATAATTTTGTCATGTGAACGTGACGTCATCAATGTTTTTTCATGGTTTACTCCGGTTTAAAATGGAATTTAGAATTAAATTATAAGAAATGACTTTAATATTTTTTCTGACTATTCGAAATAACATAAAAAATGTGGTGCACACTTTAAAATAACCCGCTATGCGGGTTATTCAGTGTGCACCACATTTTTTATGTTATTTCTTCATAGACAGAAAAAATATTACAGTCATTCCTTAAATAAAATCAACAGCTTTCAGAAAGAATTAAGGATTTAAGGATTTTTGTAATGTCAAGACCAAATAATGGTCAGCACGAGCGCTACAATGGCTCACCGATTTGACTTAAATTTTCATATTTGATTTATAACAAACTAAAACGTATCCAAAATTAACATTTAACAATGCATGGCCACAATAATATGTATCAGTGTGTATTTAAGTCTTAGATGCCATCTAATTAACCATCGAGATGATCTACAAATACTGTTGACTGTCATTTAACCCGATATAAACATAAATATAAATATAAATAGATAGGGAGCATTTGCAATTGGATTTTTTAGGTCTGTTTGATATATGTTACAGGTTAAAATAATATGTTAATCATCATTTTTACCTGTATGAGAATGAAATGGTTCACCCTTGTTTCACTTTCAATGTTGACATGCTTGCCTAGTACATGCGTAATCCCTAAGGGGTTAAATTAATGGTCACATGAATACAGATTCAATTGAGGTTGAATTATTGACATGCAAGTAAATTGTATTTTAGTTTTTTGTCTAGCTTATGCCCTTTTAAAACCATTCCAGATGAACAGGTTTGTCTGTACTAAATTTTGAGGTGTACACACAGCCATTTTAGCCAAAAGGTCAACATAAACCTTAATTCATATAACCCAATCAGAAAACATGAAAAAATGCAAAATACAACAAAAATGATCATAATAACTAGATCTTCCTAGTCCTAGATGTCAAATAATCTTTTTAGTAATAAAATATGTAATATGAAACACTTACAGGATCATTTGCAGATATTCCTAAAGCTAAGTTTACTGAAAAAAGAAAACAATTTTACTAAATAATTCCTTTAAATTTGTCCTTGAAACAAATGACCATAACAAATTTTATTAACAGCAAATCTATTGAATACTAGTCCATCCAAGGACTTAAAAAATCTCATTGGTATAGGACTTTCTTAAAACATACATCGGGCCTCGGTGGCCGAGTGGTCTAAGTAGTTACTACTGTAATCACTAGCCAGTCAACACTGAGGTTGTGAGTTCTAACCCCGCTCGTGCGGGTGCGCTCAACTCCAATCTTAATTGACTAGGATTGTCAGTTTTCCTATCGAAGGTCGGTTGTTTTCTTAGGGCACTCTGGCTTCCTCCACCAATAAAAACTGGCCACCACGAAATAGCCCAAAAGCGGTGCTTAAAAGTGGCGTTAAAACACCAAAAATCAAAAAATCTAAAACATACATCCAAAAGCCTGAATATGATTTAAAATTACAATTACATACAAGTTCTTTCCCTTGTTGGGCAGTATACTGGCATGAATACTGGTTTGCTGCAGTGCTACGGCTTTAATAGTAGGATAAATTTTCAACATAGGAAATACTAAGATACAAACACGGATTATCCTATATTTAATATAGGTACCTCACACTAGCATTAATTTATGTCCTAGATTCAATAAAAATATAACATTAAAAATACTGCAATTTCAAATGGAACTTTCAACAAAATTAAAAACAACCAAGAATTAAAGTAAATGAATTGAATATAATAATAAAGTATGCATACATGTCATTGTAATGACATGTTTTTTACGAATTTGGTATTATAATATACTGTACCAATAGAAATGTCTTTCTAGAATACTGATTCTGAAACATCTTTCTAGAATACTGATTCAGAATTATGCAAAAAATCGTTTGACAAAAGAAATATATATAAATGTATATTGATGGACGTTACCAGCAGTGGTAGATTTTCCAACTCCTCCTTTTCCAGAAGCTACCACAATAACCTTATCTACTCCTGCTATGGGTAGTTTTTTAGGAAGACCTCTAGTCATCCTTTCATTCTGCACACCACTAGACTGAGGTTTTATACCCTAAATATAAAATGATCATTATAAATAATAAACTATCGTAATAATATTAAGAAAATTTGTGCTGAATTATTTCTGATAAGCAGGTTAAAAAGAGCCATTTCATTGTCAAAATTGTACAGAAAAACTGGTATTTAAAATGCGGTATAACACCTGAAAATTATTAAACATCAAACTAGAGGCTGTAAAGAGCCTGTACCCCTCACATAAATCATCTAGTATGTCAATTGTCAACCAGGGCCATGCTCCAATCCTTTAGACCAGAATATAATTTGCAAGCTAAAATCTACACACACTAAGGATCCATCATACCTAGTTTGGTTTCAATTGGTTCAGTAGTTTCAAGGGTGTCAGATCTTTGAAACAAAAACACAAGTAATGGGTAAAATAGTCAATTAGGGCTATAACAGTTTCTGTCATATGACTGCTATCTATACCTTGTCTTGATGTTTATTATCACTACTTTTCTGTCAATCTATTACAGTTTTCAAGATACATGTAAGAGAACGAAATAAAATGCAAAATATTGTATATAAATGTTGACACAGAAATATGTCTCACCTGTATGTAGTTTTGATAAGTTAGTACAAATGTTGAAATTAAAACAATATTTTAACTGTTACACTTTTACAAGTAAAATATGCAAAACTTTCAAAGTCAATCAACCATGAAAATAAGTGAACTAATGCTAATACAACTGCATACAAAATATTATTTACTTACCATTAGTGGTTCCTCTTAAACAGACCTAATAACAAACTTAAACATGTAAACTACATATACATGTATGAAAAAATTTCAAAGTACTTAGACTTTGACTGAGGTGGCAGGGCCAAATCATATCCATAGAAATGAGATACATGTATATGCTAATGCTAATGCAACTACATACAGAAATGTACCAAATATCATTGACAAACCATCAGTGGTTCTCTTTAAACTGACCTACTCACAAACTTTAGCAAATTGTTGATGCCCAAGTCTTGCTTTTACAACTTGGTGTGACAAAGATATTCATTTCAGGTAATAACAGCATTTATTTCAATCTTTTAACATGCATAATGAAAAAACTTATGATTATTACCACTGCTTTCAATTAACTTACAAAACAATTATTAATTTGTTCCATATTTCCAATCCATCAGATAAAATATTATACAATTACCGTTTTTTTATGAGATAAATATGTGGTTTTATTGACTTTGGAAAAAAAAAATGATATTCACTGAGGCCAATGGCCAAAGTGAATATCAGTTTATCAAAAGTCAATTAAACCACATATTTACCGAACAAAAAGACAGTAGTTGTTTAATTCTGTATTTCTGAGAGAGATTATGTATGCAATGACAATTATATACCAAAACCAATTGTACATCAAACAAATTCACCAAAACAATGCACGTAAAAGCACACAACGTTATTGACGGTCAATATATTTTTTTCCGCAGGTGAATATGCTGTTTTAATCAATTCCAATTCATATCGAAAATCCTATTAAAGTTCTATCATTATGGAATAATTTGTTACATTTTATATTTTACTATTATATGAATACATTTAGTATGATACAAAAAATATAACAGTTATGCATATAAATATCCAAAAATTGGCGGAAGAGTTGACAAAGTGTGAGTTGATATGGTTTCAAGACAAGTCCTTGTGGTAATAAATGTCATACACATGTTTTTATATGCTTTTTGCTCTATCCAGTGCTTTATAATTTGCAATGTTCATGTCTTGTCTCACTTGAAATGTTTGCTTATCGGTGTTCCCACTGTCTGTATAAAACACTGCTTAGCTCTTCATAAAATTGCATATGATGGCTTTGTGACGTCAAATACGTTAACCCGGCCTTAATAACTTTGACCCAGATATATCACCAAAATCATAATGAATGAACTGACTTTGATAAGTTTGATTGGAACTTATCAAGCCATCTTACAGTTTTCTAGTGAAACAATGAAAAACTGTTGTTTCAATCATGCAAAAAACACAAATACAATACAATGAATCGATGATCAGATTTTCATTATATTTATATTGTAAAATGTCAGCTGCTGGACACAATATGAAGCCTTTTTGAAATCGTTCGCTGTGCTCACTTGACAAAAAGCTTCATATTGTGACTCTCAGCTGATATTTTACAATATAGATAGAGTTGATTCATTTGACAAACTGCCATCTCTGTTTGCCTGAAAACAACAAAATAGGACAGTAATTTTCTTATTAATAGGACATATCTACAATTTAGGAACTAGATTCATAAGTGACGGTAACTGGTCCTTGTATCCATGAAATTTCAAGCAAAAATTGGCACACTAGTAACCTGCTTAATGCTGGATATAAGAGGAATTAAAGATCAAGTCTATGGTCCTAGACCTATCTTAGGGTAACCTTTTTGTGTTAAAAGAATATTTCCAAAAGTATTTCCTGTTAAAAATTATTTAAGAAAAACTGTGAATATCTGACAGTAGCTTGAACTAGACCAGTAGAGTACGTCCAAACCAAAGGTAGTTTTTTTCCTTTACTGGCCGATGACCAGTTACTGTTAGTTATCAGTAACCATCACCTGACAGTTTATGCAATAACGGACGCTTTTCATAAATACGACTAACGACTTACTGCTATTTTCTGCACACAATAACTCTTATTTAATTTTTACAAAATTTGATTTGTTTGAATAGATTAAGACAAGAAAATGTGGAGTTTTATCTTTTTCAACACATCTTGGGAAGATACGCGTGCAGGGGCATGACGTCATCACTTTATGACATCCTCATTTTAAAAAAATATAACAATTTTCAGACAAAGTAATTTCAAAGTTTGCTTAAGAACAAACATTTCTTTCATAAGAATTAAATAAGAATTTGAGAATTAACTTCTTTGCTCCTATTGAATACTGTGTAACTTGTTGATTTCAATAAACATAAATTCATGATCAGTTAAAATTTAGCGAGGGAAAGAAAAGTTTCAGAATTTTTGACAAAAGGACTATATATTTGGTACATTTAACATTGAACCTTCTCTTCTTACCCAAAAATATCAAAATATGAAACTAATATTCAAATTGAGCTAACATTTCTATCATTCAGTGGTAAGATTCTGAAGTGACGGTAACTTGAACCTCGTACTTGTAAAATTTCACGCAAAAATTGCCACTCCAGTTCCCTGCTTTACAATAGTTATAAGAGGATTTCAGGTCAGCTAGTCTATGGTGCTAGAACTAATTTTTGGTAACCCTTTATATGATACAAAATATATCCAATGGAATTCCTGTTAAAAATATTTGAGAAAACTGCAAATTTCCGATGGTAACTGGTACTGGACCAGAATATAATGGATATCACTGGGTCACTATATCAATACAAATTTTGAATAATTGAATTCATGTGGTAACATCAAAGTTAAAAGGGGCAGACTTCAAGTTTTTTTCTTGTCTATTTTAGTTTTATAAATATAATATGTCTGTAGGATTGAACCTTTTGAACTCTCGTCTCGTTTTTGCTGGGACTATTATAGTATAATAGTCCCAGGTTTTTGTTATGAAATTGTGAATATAGGACATAATATATTAATATTTCCTGCATACACTGAAAAATATATGTGTGGTTCCAGTTACGTTCTGAAAAAGAATAGGGTCAGTAGGTCAGCATTTTTATTTTATTCGGATTGTCAAAATCGGGAAAAAAATCATGTGTTCACCAAGTATCATACACGCCCCTACCGGAAGTTTGCCAATTTTTTATATGTTTGGTTGTAAAATAAACAGAAATGTTATGTTTTAAGTTAATTTTGTTGCATTCTGTTAAGAATTTGATGCATTTTTAGTCGTAGTGGATACTTCTAATGGAAATACAGATGACAGAAGTCTGTGAATTTAATTATTGAAATTCACATTCCACAAAACGGGATCGTTCAAAATATATTTTTCAGTAATGGAACAAAAGGTCTAGGGTCGGGGGTTTAAACTAGGGTTGGTCAAGTACCTGGAACCACACATATATTTTTATTTGGCCTTAACATTACAATAACAGAACGTTATCGTAGACACAAATATTATTGTTACGTTCACAATAAATCCGATTCTAATCCAACCTAGCATTCTGGCGATTAGTGTCCAACGTAACAATAGGCCACTTCACAGTTATTCAGCAATATTGATTAGGGGGCAGAACTCCATTTCACAAAAAAAACTTACGACTAATATTGGTCGTAAGTCATGAACAATTCAGTATACTTACAATCAATCTTAGACGTAAGTTTTTTGTGAAACTGATTCCAGATGTTTTGGATAGAGGTGGAACTATTGTCATGGCAAGAAATTAGTTCAATCATTTTTAGGTATTGCTATTTGTAACTCATGTATCATTTGTACCCATTGCAACTATTTACAGTTGAAAGGAATGAGTGTATTCACCATGTACCATTTGTATCCATTTGTACCTGGTTACAAATGAAAGGGGGGTATTTCAGCACTAATTTTAGGTACGGAAAGTAATTTTTTTTAAAATCAACTGATCTAAGAAAACTTTATCTCATTTTAAAGGCATTACCTAATGAACAGTAAAGCTTTTTTTAGATTTTATGATAACAAGGATAGTGTTTGAACAGTAAACGCTAATACGAGGGCAGGAGTGTTATATATAAAATAATTGCTTACCAAACGAACAGTGGAAAGATTTTTAGATTTTATGATAACAACTAAACAAGGATAGTGTTTGAACAGTAAACGCTATTACAAGGGCAGGAGTGTTTATCCTGTTTAATATATAGATACATAAATAGTGAAATCTGGACAAGTGGATTGAGTAATAAATAGTTAACTTCGTTTACATGGTGATGGATTAGTTCGCATGCTGTATATATGTTACTGTTTCTAATAATTATGTTTATGAACATATACTATAACCAATTTTATGAGTGCCCCGTGTGTAAGGGTTAGGGTGCAAATAAAGAAGTACGCTGTAAAAGCGAAGCTCCTGCTAGAGGAGGAAGATAAAGACTAGGTAACAGGCATTGTGAAGACATTTTCAAAATGGTTTCACTTTTATCAATACACGTAATAACAACGAAGAAATAGCAAATTTTCAAAAGGGTAATTTTTTACTATTCTAGAAAAACTGTTTCCTCTCTTTAAAAAATAATAAAATACATTTTTTTAATCATTTGGGTTATAGTTTTGTTTATATATTGCTTCTTTTACATCTTGTTAGTCAATTTAAATCCTCCATGTTAAGTTTTTTGGTCAAAATAAAAGCATAAAGATTGAAAATCAACCACTCTCATGAAATTCTATCGTCCAAAGTCACATAACATGACGATACCTTTATATATTCCTTTCTTCAGAACATCAGTTGGTATATTGAAAATGTAAAGTAAAACTTTATAAACATTTGAATGTAAAGAAACAAAATATAAATATGAACATTACTCTTTATATACAAATGTATATGTTTGTGTGTGTGTACCATGAGAGACGAGAACAGTTTTGAAGTATGTCATCTGTCTTTGTATAGTCATGATAGTTTTAGAATGTTCCTTTTCATTAACATTCTATTTAATGAAATATTCTTATTCTTGTATAGCATGTTTAGTGAATGCTTATAAATAAAAATAAACAACAACCTTTCAACAATTATACTACAGGTTTAAAATACCTGTTGCACTGAAAAACAATGAAAATAAATATAACATTATTTTTATATGAGAAATTTCAAACAAAATAATTATGTCAGATCACTGTAAATACTTGTATGTATAAAAGTAAAGTAAATTAATATCTGTAAATCAGTTACAATATTTATACAGTGAAATCTGTAAACCAATCTCATTCACGACAGAAGTGCAACTACATGCAAACGAATCTTGAACAGAACTTCGAACATGGTTTGAGGCCTACCATCTCCGGTATTATCTTAAGTTTTTTGGCTCGATAATCCTCTAACAGTCTGTATGTGTAGATAGCTGTAGTGTCTGTTACGTTCCCTTATTTAATTTTACCATTGTATTTAGAACATATATGTGGGGAAAATTTCAACAACTCAGTTAATGTGATCACACACACACACACAAAAATATGTATACAAAAAATAAAATCTTTAGAGTGTACTGTTAAATACAGTCTGAAAAATAGGGTCATATTAATATTGTTTTGAAAGTTATATTAATTATTCTAGGACAAATAGTATTTGTATAATAATTAATATAACTTTCAACTTGGAAAGTGGCAGTCAGGGAAAGGGGGTAGGGGAATCTTCTTGTATCAATATGGGATGGAAGACAGGGGAGAATTGATGACAAGGGAATGAATTGCCATGTTGGGTTTTTTTAAACCTTAACTGTGAATAGCAGACGAAGTAACCTGCCGCTACTGCATGGATTCCTATGTATGTTTTTAGTTGAACATGTTGAAAATACATATATTGATTGTTGTTAAACCACATTATTCAGTATCCTTACTATCTCGTGTGCAATGGCAAATGGTTAAACTATCTTTAAATCGCAATAAACTGGCTGTATAATGCACAAAAAAAAAACTATCCCACTGATTTCCAATCAAAACTAAACCAAAAGTTGTCCATGCAAGGGAAATAACTATGTATACACAAAAAGGAGGGTTATTTATAAAAATTAATTTTGATATGAACACAGCTATCTAGATTTATTTATTTGACCTAATTATTTAATTAATATATTAAACTTAATAAAAAAGGACATTTTATGGCTGTATAACGTTCCTTTGTATTTTTTGGAAACAAATGTAACTTTCAAACCCTTGTTTGTACCTCAAATATTTCATTGTATTCCTGAAAATTTTAATATACAGAATCATGAATATTCATATAATATCTATCAAAAGCAATCAGAACCTTCTGAGACTTAACAAGTTAATAGAAGGCCTTAATTGGAGGTCACCCAAAGATTTTATTTTTACACACATCTGGGAACAATTATTTAGGGTAATTTGGAGTTATCTCCCATTGGTTTGCCATACCTACTAATTTCTTGACATATGTAGAAATATTAAGAAAGTACAGGAATTGGAAAACATATGCATGAGGGGCCTGATAGGGGGGTCTCATCACAATTCACAAGTTGATTTTTTTGTCAATCACGATTCACAGAAAATAAATTTCCATGATCACGGATCACGAAAATATAAAAAAAAATAAATCTGTAGAAAAACGGATCACGAGACACGATAGCGAAAATGCGCCGATCACTAAGAACGAAAATAACCCATCTGGGCCCTCATGCATGTTTCCAAGCAACTGTTCTGTTTCAATGATGTTTTCCCGTGTTTTTCAAAGCATTTTCTCCTCCATTATGAAAATCTGCCCCTATTTAATATGGCTTCAATATAACCGTTTTTACTTTTTTGTTATTGTTACGTTTTCGACGTAATCGTAGCCAGTGCCTAAAACTTTTACGCTTAAATGTAAGATGTATGAAACTTATTATGCTTACAAACGGATTTTCGTGAGAGGAATACATTCTGTTCATTCGTTTAACAATATGTTTACTGATTAATCTTTGCAAAAGTTTCATGTCCATTTTTGAGATTTTTTTTATGTTAGGCGACTTAATCGATAGGGGAAAGACACGAATTTATATTATGTAAGTTCTATATTTATACAAGTTATGTATAAACCTCCTACGAAAGAGCACTGTATATTCCATTCAAGGATTTCGCCCTTACATTTACACTTACCTATCCTGTATTTGCCACATATATCAAATGAACCACTGGCACTGTTGCCTTTAGTCAACGAAGAGATTCTATAGTTGAATCTGAGACTACTGGGTTATAGTTGTCTCAGGTTGAATCCTTAAGATGAATTGCAAATTATATGGTTTATCCTCCAAAACAAGGAATTGTACATTTCCTTGTCCAAACAGATAAAATCGATGCACTTTTAAAACCAATTACTGAGTTGTGCATAACTCACCAACACTATATCTACAAAATTACAGCTCCCATTTTTGATGGGACTACACCTTAAGGATGTAGGTCAGGTTTATGAATTTTTGTCAGATGTTCGGACTCCTTGGTTTTTTCCTACGATACAGGGCAAAATATTTTGCCCCATAACACCCATTTTTCTTTTCATGTAAGACTGCAATAGCTCATAAAAGGTCATTTACCAAAATTTAAGCAGATTCTAGATTTCTTTTCTTTCGATTGAGACCCAAATAATACCAATGCAAATATAAGGTAAAAGTCCGAGTCAGCCTTTTCCCGCCATTTAAAAAAAAATGAAATATCTCGAAAAGGAGCTCCATAACCTATCAATATTTTAAGCTTATTTTGTTCCTTACCTAATGCTCTTGTGACTTATAGTATCAAGTTCAAATTCTAGATTTGCATCCTTAAATGTCATCACATAAATTATCTTGTCCATATCAGATCATATCATAATTGTGTATTGCTTCATATTAAAATCATAAAATTGATGCACGCTTTTGGTGCAAACTAAAACATAGTCCAGCACTATTCTTCTCAATTTGATTTTGTTGTTGAGTTGACAAAAATCATCTTGAGCAGTCAATGTTACTCCCACGTCGTTTGCTCTTTATGAATGAGTTACACGAGGTCAAAGGTGTAAATGACGTCATTGAACGATGAAGTAGGAAATTAAAGTCAACAATGTTCTGAGTGGTTGGGCTGACATCCATAAAGGCGTACCACAGGGTTCTATACTAGGGCCATTGTTGTTTAACATATTTATAAATGATATTTTTCTTTTTGTTAAAAATGGTAGTTTATATAACTATGCAGATGACAATACTTTGTCTTTCTGTACTCCAGATTTTGATTTATTAATTTCAACTCTGGAATCTGAGTCAAAAATACTTATTGAGTGGTTCCGTGTGAATGAAATGCAAGCAAATCCCGACAAGTTTCAAGTTTTGGCTGTTGGCAAAAAGACCTTTGAACAAAACCCATCTATACATATTCAAAACTCTAACCTTACATGTGAAAAAACAGTAAAATTATTAGGCATTGAAATTGACTATCAGTTAAATTTTGATGTTCATATCAGCTCAATCTGTAGGAGGGCATCACAGCAATTAAATGTTTTAAAACGTTTGGGCTCAGTTTTTGATAAAATTAGTAAACTTACTATTTTTCATACTTTTATTCTTAGTAATTTTAATTTTTGTCCTTTGGCATGGCATTTTTGCACTGAGAAAAATTCCAAAAAATTAGAAAAGGTGCAGGAAATAGCACTCCGTTTTGTATATGAGGATTTTACCAGCCCCTACGAGGACCTCTTACTTAAAGCTAAGGTGCCCTCCTTGCAGACCAGACGGATTAGAACAATGGCTCTAGAAACTTTTAAGATTATAAATAATATAGCTCCTGTGTGCATACAAAATTTGGTGAGTGTCAAAAAATCTAAGTATTCTTTCAGGTATGTAAATATTCTGGATGTTCCACAGGTAAAGTCAACCCGTTACGGTAAAAAATCTTTCAAATTTGCTGCCGCTACTTTATGGAACAGCCTTCCAAACCATTTCAGGACTGAAAATAGTTTTTTATATTTTAAAAGTCTTGTTCAGTCCTGGAACGGTTTGGAATGTCGCTGTTCTGCTTGCAGATAATTCTTGAGATTGTTATTATTCATGTTGCTTTTGGTTGCTCTGGTCTAGCATGTTTTATTTCATTTTAAATTTGTTGCTAAATTTTTATTGCAACCTATGTAAGTGAGATTTAACTTCGTATTACAGGTTGTTTTTGTATGTCAAATTAGACTGTTTTTATGTTATGTATATGTTTTTATATTCGGTCAAAAGCTCCTTAGAGCTTGTGTTGTGTCTTTTAACTTATGCCGAATCAAAATAAAGTTTTCTTATCTTATAATATAAGTATTCTACGGGAAAATGCACAAATGTGAAACTGGAAGTCGTCAAAACATGAAAACATAAACAAACATTAATTATATTTTGTAAAGCCCATTTTCTTAAATAAACCAGGCGGAGCATAAATTAATCAATTAACTTCATCCAAACCTGGATGAGTAAGTTATTGTAATATTCGTTTAAGGTCATACGATACAGTAGAGATCCCTCGTTGATTTTTTCTTAAAATTTTCGTAGAAGGTCAATTTCGATGTGTACTTTTGAAATATGCAAAGAAAAATATATCTTCATGACTTACTTTTTGAGGTAATTTGGTTCGAAATTTGCATATTTGAAGGAAAAACCCAGAATTTTTTTAAATCAGGACTTTTAAGGAAAGTACCAATACTTTTGAACGAACAGTCATAATTTAACCGGGTTTTTTGTAAAATGTTCCCTTGATCCATGGCATCAGCATGCTGTAACAAGTTAACGGTTGAAATAAATAATTATATCCTAAATTCTTTTAATACAAGTGAAATAAAGAAGATGAAAATATTTTTGCGTCTACACAAAAGTGCAGAAAAAATTCTATCGTTGATTTTTTCTTAAAATTTTGGCGGAGCGTTCTTGAAACAGAACTTGATTGATTGCAAAAGAAAAAACTGGGGGTCCATGTGCTTGTTTTTTCAATAAAAGCAATAAACCTTAATTTCTATTGGCAAACGGGACGTTTTGCCAATAAGGCGCCAAACTACGTTGGAATAAGTTTTATTCGCAACAACGTCGTGAAACTTTCCCGCCGTTGACTACTACGTTGTCAATTTCAGTGGTAGAGCCAAGGTGTTTTTTTTTAAACCAATGATATTAATCATGAAAATTAATAAAGCTGGCTCCTCGTAAATAGCATCATATTTGCCAAACCTTTATGAATTGTTACGAAACTTGGATAGAAAAAGTATTCTAGTAAATTACTTTTAGAAAAGACATGTTTGGAAACAAAACAGATATATATATAATAAAAAAATTAATTTGCATCTCTGCATGTCCGACATTAGTCATACAATTCATGTAGACAACACAGCTTGAACATAGTTTTAATTATTCAAAAGGCCCCGACATGACAAAATGTGCAACAATTATAAAGTAAGGGGGATGATATAAAAATAAGGACATTTGGTATGATTGCAAAAGAGACAACTATCAACCATAGTTCAAATGACGAAGATAAACGCTATTAAAGGTAACCCTACGGCCTTCAACACAAAAAAAAAAAAAAAAGCCACACCGTATAGTCAGCTTTAAAAAGCCCCGACAGGAAAATGTGAAATAATTCAAACAAGAAAACTAACGACCTACTCTATAGGAATTACATGAACACAAAATCATACCCACATTAAATCGGGTCAGCTTAGTCCATTACAGTGTAGTATAACATTTCATACAGCAATCGATATAAGAGCATGAAGTTTAATGATTCTGTATCAATAGATAAGTTACCTAAGCTTGTATTCAGGGTATTTTTTTTACTACGGTACATATAATCATTGAATTACTTGTCTGTATTATACCTTCAATCTAGGAGTGAGTGCAACCACATTAATTGTTTGTCCGGTCCAACAAATATTTTGTTTCTTATCTGAGAAACTTCTTTACAAAAAGACTTCGTATTGTTCAGTAACTTAACATCAATGAGTTTCAACTCTGGTCTGTCAAATACCTAATTCCTGTGTGCCGATTTTTCTGTCTCAATATGTACATAGAGGATATGCTTAGCACATCAACGGGTGCGTTTTTGTTTTTGGGCTATAATACGGGGCTTATAATTTTGTCATTTTAACTGACAGTTCTTCTTCATACACATATATATTCCACGGGTTAAATTCTAAAACTGTCGTTAAACTCTTTATTGTACCTTTTCAAAGTCAGGAACAGTAAGATGCGCTGTCATTATTTATTACGTTTTTTTGTGAGCCAAATGGTGAAGTTACTATATAAATTACTTATTGTTTTGGTTTTTTTTTTTTGTGTAGTTGGGTTTCTCTCTCATCGACGTCTTATGTTGTTCATATCTGTTATTCATTTCCTATATGAAATGACAGACATACAAAGCTAAGAATGCGGATCTGATTTTTTTCCCATTCGAAGTTAACTTATTGTTGACTTCCTTATTAATGAATAAATATAACAATTCTCGTGATTTGGCCGATTTTCATTGCAGGTACTTTTTTCAAATTCGCGCAATCGGGATTATGACGTCAGTGGATTTTCCGCAAATGTGACTACATCTAAAGCGACGTCGCGAAATGTAATCGTTCTTATTAGAAACATCGCGAAATTACAACGTTCTGATTAACAACGTCGCGAAAACAACACGAAAAGTTTTGAAAACGTTATTATCTGCCCCTGCTACTGTATCGTATGCCCTTAAGCATGTCACTTCTTCAGTTTTCTTCGTCTTTTGCTTATATTCTTACGTCATCTTTCAATGACGTCATTTACACCGTTTGGCCACGGGTAACTCATTCATAAAAGCAAACGACGTGGGAGTAAGATTGGAATAGCCCAAACAAACCATGACGTTGACACATCAACAATACTAGAACACACCCGCGAAATCGCGGGCATTTAGAGTGTTGTTGATGGTATGTAAACTGTTGCTGGATGAATTTTTGTAAAATATTTTATGACTGGAGTATTTCAGGAAAGGTATCAAAAGTCAAAGGTACTTGGGGACA